GGGGGTATTGGGGTGTGGGGGTGGTTAACCCCTCCAACTTTTGTAAAATTAACATATTCGGAAAATCGGGTTGGCCATTCGGAAAATTACGGCAATAATAGTATAACAAAATTTTAGTTGTTTAAACAGAGAAAATATTATAAAATGGTATTGTCAGTATAATATATAAACCATTGGTATAAACTGATTTACGAAATCACGGCATTTACATTGATAACGTAAAACAAATCGTAAATCGGTAAATGTTTTTCGGTTTATTACTTCTCAGGGCCGTAGCAGTCGGAGGGAGGGGACTGGGGGCAGCTGCCCTTACAATAATTTGCTGATAATCATTCTTTTTTCAAAATCATGCACACCTTAATTTATCATTTAAATAATATACCTTTAAAATACTGACAATAGACTAGAGGTGTGCATCGGATCGGACGTTTATAATCCGACAATTGCCTAATGTTTAAAATCCGATCCGAAATTGTCTAATCCGAATCCGATTCGAGTTTTGAAAAAGAATTCCAATCCGATCCGATCCGAAGAATTCTTTAATAAAATAAATTTCTCATTCAAGTTGAAATATTTAACCAAATAAATACAAAAGCAAGAAATACATGTCAAGAAGCTGACAAAGTGACGTCCAATTGAAGTATCAAACGAATAATGCAGCGAAAACCGCGATGATACTTTGATAAATGTATGGATAATTAATTCTTGCGATAATGCATGGATAATTAATTCATTTTATTTCGGATATCGAAGCCCGATCCGACTAGGAAACAACTTTATCAATCCGATCCGAAAATACATTTTGGTTCCGAAATCCGATCGGATTTGCACACCTCTACAATAGACCTTAATTTCCCCCATTTGAGTGAAATTTTGATCTAGACAAGCCTGGACAAAAATTTCACCACAGCTTGAAAGAGCATCACAAAATTAGTAAGATTCCGAAGTTTCGTTGAAAGTTGTAAAATGCGGATAATATAGCCTTGCGAAGTTTTTCAGTCATTTTGCATTACAAACTAGAAATTGATAATCTTGATTATCAATTTCCCATTTGTAATACAATGACTGAACTAGGGATCCAAGGATAGTGCGAAGTTTCAAATTGAAAAAGACACTGCAAGAACTATATAGGTTCACTGACAACCTAGAAAAGCTGATCGATGGCTTACACTACGAAATAAACAATTAC